TACAAAAAAAAGCTTTCTCTTTCCTTTATTTTCATAAATGGTAAAGAAAAAATGTATGTTGTACTTGTTTCTGAAGACGACAAGCATCTGGGTGAGCTGCTGTGGCCATGAAGGTCAGAAGTCTCCTGAGTTCATCTCTCACGCTCGTCTCCAGCAGTCGAAAACACAACTGAGATGCTTTGATGGCATCCTGCGCCTTCCCTTTTTCTAGAAAGAATAAGAGCAGGAGTTACAGAGGGTCTTCATGTGTCAGGAAATACTTTAAGAGGCTATAAAATGAATGTAAGCCTCATCAAGTCTCACCCAGCAAATTTAGGATCGCCGCGTGTATGTCCATGTGGTGTCCTGAGAGAAGTGGAGCCTTTTCCTGTCCACTGTAGTACTTGGCAATGGTGTCAAAGAGCAGTCTCTTTTGGTTCTCCAGCTCCTCAGCTTGGTTATCTCTGAGAAGACATTTCCGCCTTGTTGGCTGAGTTGCTCCCCTGCTACCACAATCAGCTGGTCAGGAAAGAGCTCCAAGCAGTCTGCCGCTGCTGACAGCCACCCATCCAACCTGTAAACAAAAAAAATGTTTTTAATCGTGGAAAAAAAATGTTGCAATTAATATGCAAAGTCTGCTAGTTATGTTTTCTAACTTTTGAAGGTGGAGGAACAGAGCCTACTGTGCATAAAATCTTTAAAATATCATTAGGATTACTAACGCGGGCAGATTAAGGGTGTCAGGCAGTTCTCTCTCGAGGCATGTGTTAGAGAAAACCAGGTCCTGGGTGGCCAGAGGAGCTCTGCAGGCCTGGACCTGAACTCTGGCAGGGGAGGTCAGAATGCAGTCCAGCATGGGGAGGTCTACCACCTGCAGCAGCTGCAGCAGCGTCTGCTGCTTCCAAACCTCGCCCACCACTATGGAGGGAGAAAAGACCATAAAGTATTAGGTATCATGAATTGATGTTCCACTCTATAGCGCAGCAACCAAAATCACAAACAATGAAAGCTGAGCTCACCAGCTTTGGACAGAAAGGCAGAATTTGAAGGAGTCGTGTTCAGCGATTGAGACAAGGTTGGTTGCAGGTTGATGTTCTTCAGCAGCCTCTCAACTCTTCTGTCTGATGGTCCCACAGCAAGTGGATTAGAGATTGTCCTCAGTTCCTTCAGCCTCCAGAAACAACAGAAAGCATTATCATGATGATATTTCACAATGAAAATTATAATCAGAATAAAATAAACAAGTTAAGCACCACTACATTATGAGAAACCAACCTAGAGCTCTTCTTCCTCTTTAGCTCATGCCCTTCTGGTGCCGTGTTTTCTGTGTCACTGCTGCACTCCTTCATGGCACAATTGGGTAACACTTTATATTCCAGAAAACGATAAAGGCTGCTGCTGCTGTCCTCAAAGGTCACTTCCTTGTCTCTGCGAAACAGCTTTGAACCCACTGGTTCGAACACCTTAGCCTCCATTAAAGCCTGGCAGAGTCTGGCAGCTTTGAGGCGAGACACTTCACTTGTGCAAAACACCACATTCTGCATCAAGTAACTGAGGACGGCGTCCACAGCGTCCGAGCCAGTGAAACATTCAGCATGAACTCGTAGATGTCTTCTACAGCGGCGCACCTCCACCTGGTTTTGCAGGGCCTGGATGATGTTGTGCCACAGCTGGGTAGCACCAAAGGGTCCAGAAAAACCTATGAGAGTAGACACAGGGTCAAGTCTATGTTGAATAACAGAGCTTAAATGTTGCTGTGGACTTAATGAAGGTCCACTTTTACAAACATGGGTAAACAAGTGCATGCTGTAATGATAACTTTATACAGGACAATGGCATATTCATTTTACAAGTTTATAATTAATGCAACTTAATCTTCAATCTTAATCTTTAAGGATTTGTAGGTCATTTTATTTTCAAATGGTAAATAGTGAAGTTATGTTGGCTCTTTTTTTTACCAACTTTTTATTTATTTTGACAGTCTTTACAGGTGTATATCATCCAATAAATTCATTAGGTAGTAATTCATACATCCATTTTATGACAATGAAATCCATTTCATTGTCATAATTACAATGCAAAAATAAAATAAATTAACAAAGAAGAGGATGACAACACAACCCTGCAAACCTGGAGTTTTCATAGCCTCCCCACCCTCCCTCCCTCCCCCCCTTTAATGCGTTTTGTATTTTAAATAAACATAGAGACATTTAGAGTAAGTCTAAAAAATAAATAAATACATTTAAAAAAAAGATATATATATGCAGCTCAAATTATCAAAAAATAGAAGGACAAATAATAATGACAGCAATAATGGGATTAAACATTTAAATACCACAGTGTAGTGGAGAAAGAAAAAAAAAGAAAAAAAAACAATCAAACCAATAACAAGATCATAGTATAGATCTCTCTTGTTATCTTGACCAAGTTAATTATTGGCAAGTCATTCACTCATACATATTTTTTCTGTTATATTTCTGGTGTTTAACAGCTCAAGAGAACAGACCTTCATTCACAGGTGTAATTGACTCTTTTTATAGTGCTGTATAGTCACTTTGTAGTAGAGAGACCAACATTTCCGACACCACTTCTGCAGAACAAGGGAGGCATGAGACTACTTCAAAGTTGTGCTATTATGTGTGTGTGTGTGTGTGTGTGTGTGTGGTCTAATTATATAAACAGGAGACTAACTCATTTAAAAAGAATTAGCAGCAAAAATATATGTCTTACCATGCTGTATAGTTTCACGAAAACTTCTTGTTTGGCTGTTCAACCTTCTGAACCGAGGAGTCAAATCAACCGCCATCACGAGTCCTTTGAATGACGTAAACATCCTCCTTCTTCTTCTTCGTCTTCTTCTTCTTCTTACAGTAAGCGGTTGGCAGCACACTGGTGCCCTCTAAAGGCAACAACAAGTAGGCCTACTGGGTTAACATTCATCCTCCTGTACTTTCTGTTGTTTCTAAATGTGTTTTTTTTAATGTAAGTTGTGTGTATTGTTTGTGGGACAGACATAAAGTTTAACTATCTATGTATCCATATATCTGGATCCTTAATAAAAACACATATTTATCCGAGCACAGTGACCTCAAACGCATTCATTCTTCATTTTCAATTCAATTCAATTCAATTCAATTCAAAAAACTTTATTTGTCCCCGGGGGGCAATTCAAAGGCACACAGAGCAGTAAATTAACAAGAGTGCAAGTACAAAACATTTTAACCTAAATATAAAGTGTAAATTTAAATACAACTTAAAGCTTAAACTTAACTTAAAAATACAAAATATAAAAGAGTAGATATAAGTGGACAGTGATCGGACTAACAGATGTAAACAGATGTAACCAGAACTATGTGCAGTAGTGACCAGATGTAAACAGAACTATATGCAGTAAACAAGAAATAAATATATATATATATACAGAAAATATTTCACATTCAGGAATATCATTTCTCACTAGTGGTTGCCTCTCTATTGTTTCCTATGACACCAAAGATTTCGTTTCAGTGCCTTTTTTGTATTTATTTTATTCTAATGCAAACTTTAGACCAAGATAATATTCCTAAGAATGTCTAGAATAGAATAAAATTACTTTATTGATCCCAAACTGGGAAATTGTGGCGTTACAGCAGCAGGTTGTCCAAACACACAATATGAGCAAAAAACACAATATTAGCAAATCTAAACATAATATGATATTAAATACAAAGTAAATAAGCACTAAAAATATCTAAACTAAGAATGAGACTATATACAACCAGGATTTAACTTAGCATTACTAGTCTTAAATATGAAAGATTAAATGTAAATGTGCAAAAACAGAGTTGTAAATGGACAGTATTGACATAAGTTAAAGTGCATGAGTGTTAGTTTCCTGTTAGGGGCTGGTGACAGCATAGGGTCAAGTGAAAAGTCAAAGAACTTACTTTTATGTTAAGATAACAGTCTAAAGAAGATAAAAAAACAAACATATTTTAATGTTTGGTGTACTTACTTAAAAAATGACAGACTTTGATATACATACCTTTTTAATTTTTGTTTCAATTTTCAATTTCCACCTAAACGACATGTGTGTTTAAGTGTGAAAAATTAAAAAATTGAAAATGATATTGATAAAAAACCTTGCTTAATTGTAACTAATAACTATCTGTGAACATCCTGTCCAAATTTGGTGAAATTCTGATTCTGATTTCCAGAGATACATGTGATAAGGCTAGAGCTGTCCCTTTTGCAGAAGCCCTAATTTGACCTATTTTGTTTTTTGGTAAGATGCATAAAACATCCAAAAAAAGTTATTTTGCAGTAAAACATTTTTATACAACCATCCGTTTCATAAACTAGACATGTTCAAGTTATGAAAAAATATGGTTGTGCTTTGTTCTACCTCGGGTAGGGGTCTCTCAACTTTTGGGGGCCCAAGTTCCTCTACTAATTATCAGCAGAGACTATTCAAAACATGACCTGAATTTAAAAAAATAGCTCATTTATCTTACTAAATTTCCCCGAGGATAAAACAAATATTTCTGATTCTGATTCTGACAGAATAATGCATTACCTGACAAAAATTAGATACCTGACTTGTCGGAATGAGCTACTTTACCAGACAGATGATGATTATTATTATTTTTTATTATTATTATTATTACTATTGCGAAGAAAAACATTTTACTTTCTCCCAAATGATGAGTAAGTCGCTTAATATTTGTACAGTTAGTGGTGAGTCTCTGTATTGTGTGAATAATTTCCTCACTGTATTGCCCAATTGAATGGAGGTCACATCCCACGTGAGTCAGAGCGGACTGTACCATATCGACTAAAGGGTTGTACAAAGAAGCGTAGCGTTTACATTCCTTTACCAAAAAAAAAAATATATTTATCTGTTTAACAATCATATTTCTACCTAATATTCGAGTCTTGAATCCTAAGCATTGTGTTAGCCTTTACTTAATTAAATACATAAATAAGCTACCCCCTATGTTTCATAAATGGTTTCGCTTGTTTGTCCTCGGAGCAGGCTGGTGTAGCGAAGGACCTTTAAACAGAGCTGAACCCAGACGACGAGCCACACGTCACAGCTGAGCTATTTTTTTTTTTCCGCTGTCAATCTCTCATTACGGAGACGTGAATGAGGTAAGATGAGTTTGGGCTCGGAACTTGTCATATCTTGGAAGAGTTGAAGCAGTTCCGCTGGCTCTGTTTTAAAAACTTTCCTTTGATTATGGCTTTGTGTTTGGGCAGCGGAAACTTTGGTGCAATCGTCGAAGGTTCCGGAAAGCTGCTAGTTATAAACATGGATGTGTCATAGAGGTTATAAAGGACACATTTCTGTATTTTTTTTACACGGTTGTTATGACAAGGGAGTTTTTTTTTTTTTTTTTAATTAAAAATACAGTTATGTAAACACTGGCATGCTGTAAATGTTTGTGAGGATTTGGCTGTAGTCTAAAACATCCTCTGCTGTAAGAGTGTGTGTCACCAATTTATCGGTCTCTACTCAGTTGTTTGTTAAAGTAACAAAGACTGAACACGCTGTAAACAGCAGTGGCAAGATTACAGATGTCAACGAGTGCAACAACAGCTTAATGCATTATTAACTGCACTATTTGAGTGGTATCTGGCGTGATATAAGTGTAATGTGATGTTTTAGTTGTGCACGGTGTTGTTGTTGTTTTGGTCTTGCTGCTCAGATCACGTGTACCCACTTCTCACGCGTCTGTGGATATTTTTTTTTTTTAATCCATGTGCAAAGGCACTGTAGCCAAACATTTTCCATGTAGGGGTGAGAGACGTGTGGCTGCAGCCAATGAGGACAGTCCTCTCGTTGTTGGCCCCGCCTCCTTGAGCCACTGCTTTGTTTACAATATACTGCAGTGAAATCTGAATCCCAGAAGGTTGCCTTTGTCCCTGTACCTGTATGAACCCTATATCAGAACACTTGCACACACAGAGAAGTCATTTGTTCACGTTTTTTTTCCCGATATGACATTCATCCAAACCACCTTGGCAAGTGATGAGGATATATGAAGGTGTACTGTTACCAACACATTGCCTTCCAGTTCTGTTTTTTTTTAATAAACATTATGTATAAAGGTATGTCCAAATCTCTCATATTCGTTTTGAATCATCTTAATTTGCAGAGTGAGTCTGTCACAGCAGTATTCTGCATTTTCATTTGACATCCAACCAACTTAAAGAGGATTTCTGATGATGAAGCAGCCAGATGACAGAGTGCACCTAATCCGTGATCAGTTTCCGGACTGTACCGCTGCCCCCGCCCCCTCTAGATAATCTCTGAAAATTGGCCTACTGGGTTGCTTCGTGACCTAGCTGTCAAGTCTAGCAGATGATGTAATGAATGAGCAGTGGACACAGCAGGGGTACATGGAAGTCACAGACTCCCCCCCCCCCCCTCCCCCAGCCCCACACCCATCCTCAACCCTTGGGCTATCTTTAAACCCAAAGAGCAGCGAGGGAGTGTGCATTCACTTTTGGCTGCAGATAAGTGAGACCGGGGACAGGAACACCCAAGGGTCACTCTGCCAGCACTGTATGTCTGATATAATATTAGAAAGAAAGATGCCTACTCAGTTAAAAGTGTAACAGTAATCTGTGTACTTTTTTTCTGCCGTTATTTAGCCAAGAGTGGTTGTTTGCTTCTGTGTTTGTAATAACACAAACATGTACACAAGCTTAGCTCTTTTTGTTTTCCGCCAAACACTGCATTTATTTGTGTAGGGCAGTCTGTTTGTATTCGTGTGTTAGACAGACAACGCAGGTGTAACTGGATCGTTTGACGGTTTAGAAGCACCTCTGTTGTCCATTGTTGCCCTGGAGAGACAAGTGATCGGCCGGGATACAGTGTCCCTTTTATCCTCAAGAGAATCAAGCTTTTGTTCAAACCTCGATACTGAAACGATTATTTTCTTCTCCTGACTTTGTCAATGCCTCGGGCAATAAACCCAGGCAAAATCATCAGACGGTTTCCAATGCATGACTTCATGCACCTTCAGAGAATTTAATAAAGCTTGTGATGTTGATACTCAGAACTGTGAAACAAGGCAGTTGGCTCAGTTACCATGGATACCGGCCCTGCAAACTGTTTTATTGACAGTGTGTGACGGGTGTTTTTGTTACACTCTGTTATCTGCCTCCTTGGCAACAGCAATTTTTCTAGGCATGCTTCCTCTCCCTCTAGGACGAGCTCAAGTGAAGATTAACTTAACTTGTTTTCTTTTCAGGAACTTTGATATGGCAGCACATAGATCTACTTACTGTGTTTCTCCTAGTTTGACTCTTTATTTCTTTATTGCTTTAAAAAAAAAAAGTTTATGGACATACGAGCCATCTTCAAGAGTTTTCCCCTAAAACAGCTGGAATTTGTAGTTTTTGCAGATGTTTCTCAAACAGGAGTAAAAAAAATGACATTTTGTGGCAGAATACACACTTGTTATTGACTGAGAATTTGCTGCTGCAGACTTGTGCTGTAAAGTAACTACAATAATAGTTGTTATGGAAAATGCCTCCTGGTGTACCTGGTCCGTGAATGTGTCAAGTATTTGTGTTTGAATGGTTTTTGGAGCACCAATGAGGTCCATAATATTAGTAAAGGTTTTAGCAGACTTCATGAAAAAGACAAATGTTTGCTTATATGGATTCATTTATAGGGTAGGTGTTGTTATTTTGTCTGAATTATTGCGTACAAGTTCAGTTAAGATGTCAAATGTCATTAGATTGGTTTCCAGTTCATGTCAGAGATGTCTAGCACCTACGTTTTACAGCAGTCTCCGAATAAGAAAGGAATGATAAACTCTTTGTCCACGTTTCTGTGTGGGCAGTAAAGCACCTACCCATTCACCTACCCATGATTTACTGAACAGGCAGAGTAAGACATGGTGTTAGAAAACAAAGTGTCTTTTTGCTGGAGTTCTAGTCAACACGTTAAGTCTCGTTTCCGTCTCCTTGTTTTGCAGCCGTGAGCCAAGATGCCTCTAAAAGACGAGGGACCTGCCTCCACATCCAGCGGTGAGGAGCAGGGCAGTGACGCGGAGTCTTCCTCGGAGCGCTGTACAGCATGACATCGGCCAGCGACCTGGACTGTTCCCGGGAAAGCTTCACCAGCGATTGCTCCAGTAAACATTGCACTCCTTCCTGTGAGTTTGAGTCATTTATGCAACCATGATTACTTTCTTTCGTCTCAGACTTTACTCAACAGTGATTTTTTTTAAAATTATTATATTATGTTCATAATTTCATGCTTAGAGCTCGCTTTTTAAAAATCTCTAATCGCTTTCAGCTGAATTTACGCTGCAGTTTTTAAAAAATGTATTTTAACGCTTATTTGTCTATTTACGAAGTTTCTTCAATCTTTTGCTTCCACAGCTAGCCCGCCCGAAACCCTAACCCTGAATGAAGTCATGGAGTCTGCCAGAAATCTGTCCAATCTCTGCATGGCCCACGAGATCACTGTGAACCCTAACTTCCGCCTGGAGCTTAACACCCTACCGCAGGACAGGTACAGTGTGGAGGAAAAAAAAAAAAAGATGCATGTCCATGTTTTTCAAGAGAAACAAGACAAACAAGGCATTCAATCAAACATAAACACTAGAACATTAAAGCTGGAGAAATCAAGACAAAGTTAAACACAAACTCAACCACAGTCAGGAGGAGTTAGAATAAAGTAACAGCTGGATGATGTTTGTATCCGGTATATTCCTGTCTGCTAACATCTGATGATTTATCACTTTGTGTCAGGATTGCATATTAGGACAAAGAGAAAGAAGAGCAGTCACTATTTCTAATATATTCACTGTATATGTGTGTGTTTGTGTGTTTGTGTTGACAGATAAGGTTTAATAAAAAGTACACTGTGGTTATTTCCCAATGCATAATATCACAGGCAACATATATTTTGTTTTTTCCTAGCTCAAATGATGCATGAAATTGAACACTTAGCATAAAGGACTACAGTCAGCAGTCAAATGACAGATAGTATCACCCGGCTAATCCAAATCCTTCACTTCTTTTTTTTTTTAGTTTGTGGAAGCTAGTGAGAGATACTTTCCACAAAGCTTTCTGGGACATCTTGGAGTCTGAGCTGAATGACGACCCGCCTGTGTACGACCAAGCCATCAAATTATTGGAGGAGATCAGAGAGGTCAGTGAACACAACGTGATGCGTTAACAGCTGTAGATTGAACTTCTCTGACCGATGTCTATGTGAAGAACTTTTCTCATGATCTAAACAAGCAGTCTTAATATTGACCTTTTTTCTCCTCTGCTTCTCTTTTTGTGACTTTCCTACATATAAAATTAGGTTCACATTAAATAACACCACTGATTATTTAATTCACAACTAATGATTCACTACAAAGGGACTTTATTTTCCACCTCATCCAGATCTTACTGTCATTCCTTATTCCCGGGAACAACCGGATGAGGACCCAGATTACAGATGTGCTGGACATTGACCTGATTCGTCAGCAGGCTGACAACGACGCTGTAGACATCCAAGGGCTTGGCTCTTTTATTATCACCACCATGGGCAAGTTTTGTGCACCAGTTAGGGATGAGGAAATCAAGAAGCTCCGTGAAATCACAGATGACATTGTTTCACTATTCAGGTAGGTGCACAAATGGGCTTTAACATTTATTAAATCTCAGTCTCAGAAAATGTATGGCCTTTGTGGGCTTTAAAAAAAACAAAACAATTAAGCAACTATATACAAGAAACATGTTCACAGTGGCTCTTCTTCCTCACACACCAGGGAGATCTTCCGTGTGCTGGACCTGATGAAGGCGGACATGGTCAACCATACAATCACTAATCTGAGGACTGTGTTGCACAAGCACGGTGTGGAATATGAGAGGGCAAGTTTTCAGAGGATCCTGGACAAAACACCAAGTGAGTGGGTGGAAACAAAACAGCATCTCTCTGTAGTTTTTAATACTTGATGTCATACCATGCCTGTTGACAGGAAGTTACAAAATGTATAATCTTCCATATAAGGTAAGGGATGAAGCCAGACAAGCTATCCATTGTGAGGTGTATATATATATATGTACAGATAGTTGCTTCCACAGAGTCTGTTAATTCCTTTTTATGGACCCCTAAAAAGATAATTATCAGTCTTAAACTATGGCCACTTGCTGAAGAAGTAATAATATATTACTAGTATTAAGACCGTTATGATATGTTCAGTGGTTTGGTTGAAAGAATATAAGTCAACAACATTGCGCGTGGTTGACGTAAAGTACGATGAACACAAAAACTTGACAGGCTCGCTAACTAGATATGTCGTTGTAATTGAAGGCTTTGACGTCCCTGCTGCTCTCATTACTAATTTTAGATACAGGCTGATACGCAGCCAGCAGATTTATTTAGACAGTGAATAGACCGTTTCAACAGAACTGCTGCAATTGTGTAGAGTATCAGGTGTTAACTGAAACACTGCGGCCAATCATAATTGAACGTTCACCCAGAAGATAGATATACTCATGTTAAGTCAGATATTTGGTGAGGTGAATACTCTTCTAGGATGTTGTGGTTTTAAAGAATACGTCCCCGCAGATGCTTTGGAGCACACCACGTCCTGGATGAAGTCAGCGCTGGAGGAGCTGCAGACGGCTGTCGTCACCACAGAACAAACCAAAGGACAGCGAGTGGTACCCGGGCCCTTCCAGGTCATCAACACCGCCTTCCTCAGCCTCCTCACATGGGACAGCAGTAAGAGGCCTCTACCTGAGGTGAGGGAGTTTTGCACATATTTACACAACTGGGAGAGATTTTACGATATCATTGTAAATCTTGCGTCGTTCTCTGTGAGATATTCATTCAGTTGTTCTCCTTTTAGACATTGATGACTGATGAGACACGACTGCAAGAGATTCAGTGGCAGCTGCAGCGAGTTCAGGCGGTGAATGAGGTGCTGCTCATCGTCTACAGCACCATCGGAGGCCCGATCCAGGGTCTGTCTTCCCTGTCTGACCGCCTGAAGAGGATGACGAGCGTGCTGCTGGAAGGGATGCACAGCCCGTCAGTTCTTATTTTCTTTTTATGTCCAATTTCACATTCTGTATTTAAGTGTACAAATGATACTCCGAGGTTATTTACCATTGTACTATCATGAAAGTAGCTCAAACCAACACTCCTCTCTCTCTCTCTCTCTCTCTTTCTGCAGGGACTTTAAGCTTGAGGAGGCACTAGAGGGCGTCAGTGCTCAGATCAGCTGTGAGCTCAACAAGTCTTTAACAGAGAGGGGCTATCCTGCACTCACTCCAGCACTGCAAGAGGCACTTAAAGGCCAGATCTGTAGCGTCACTCAGAAGGACAACCCCATCCGCTCTCTTGTTGGTGAGTAAAATAAGCGATGAGGAGCTTTACCATTTCATTAACCTGTACAGAAGCTGATGTCCTCTTAAGCGTGTGTCCCGGGTTGGACTTTTTTTTTTTTCTTTCTTTTGAACAACCCATCCAACCTGGTGGCCCGAATCCAATCACATTACTTTTGAACAGCTGTGCCCAGAGGTTTCTTCAGTATTTCTCACCTGTTGTTTCTCCGTCTCTGTGCAGAGGATCGTGTGCAGCTGTACTTCAGGGCGCTCATTTTCGCCCCTAAACCCGAGCTCAAACTGGAAGAGGTACCAGCCGGTCTGACCTACATCAAACCTGAACTGGCGTTGATCGGGGCAAAGTTCATCTCCCTGTTCGACTACAACAAACTGGTCTATGGTCCTTTCTACGCAGATGTCATCAGGAAGCTGTTGTTCAGCGGCAGCCCACCGGCAGCTAACCCTCCTCAGGACGCCCCTCAAGACTCTGTCATCTCCAAATAAAATCAAAAAACCTAAACTGTCGCCTAAGGAGTTCCTTTGCTTGTAGTCTTAGCTTTAGCTAGGGAGGTGCTACAACAGCTGGTCAGTGCTACTGCTTTGCGTAAGCCAGTGTGCTCCAACAATTGGGTTACCTTTAATGTATTATTAATGTAGTTTCTATCACTACATGTAGCAGTGAAGGCACTGCAGCATCGGCACCCGGAGGTCGACATTTAATGTGACCTGCATTCTTTGTGACAATGCTGTTAAATATGTTCTCCTGTCAACATTTAAAAAAAAAAAACAACAGAAAAGCAGTGTAGCAGGAACACATTTCTGGACCTAAGTGACAACTACATTTTAAATGAGTCTGCAGGTAAACTCCTGTTTTTAAAGGGCAAACCTTTAGTGTGTTTAAAACACACAGAAAGATTTATAAAGCAGAGACAAAGAAGGATATATATTTAGACGAGAAGCAGAGAAGAATAACAGAGACTCTACATTAATTTTATCTACAGTAGCTATATGGCATAACTACAGTTAACTTTGGACACATTTATGCAAACCATACGATAGCCTTTTCCACATTGAATAAGTCCTTTTGATTGTTCTCCCTTTCACCTTTTTTTTTTTTTAACCTGCCAGAGAACTAAGTTTGTTTTCTTTTCGATCTACTGATGTTACTATAATACAAAATAAAGTGTTTTTTTTTTTACTTTGCCGAAGAAATAACTGTTGTCTGCATGAGTAGCCCTGTGTTGGTGATTTTTGTTCATACTTGCTTTGTTTGAGTATATGTTATATGATGTATGTTCTATACTTTACTTACTCGCTGCCAGTGGATTACGCGTTACACCGGTTAAGTTGTTGTGTTTGTTACACTTGGAGGTACTGTAGTTGTTACAGTATTGCTGTGTTGGCTGTTCGAACCTGTTGGGAAATGAAAGGGGCAGAAAATAAGTTGTTGTTTGATACATTTCCAGAGGACTGATTCATGTTGAGTGAAAAGCATTAATGGACTTATACAGAAGTTTACATGAAAATGTGGGATGATATTGTTATTTTTGTTCTGTACTACAATTAATATAAAAAAAAAGATTAAAAAGAAAATTTGATGTTACACTGTATGAGTATGCGTGTATACATATTTAGGATGAACACATAACACACACACACTGAAAAATCCACCTTTACTGTGAAGGTTAATATTAAGTAAGTCAAAATGGGAAGCTGGATAACCTAACCTAGACTTCTGTAAAGCACATTGATGACAACAATAGTCTGTCTGGCCAAGCCATGACAAAAAGATGAATACAGGTTTAGGAGGTAACATAACATCAACAACCTGACAATGAATAAATGAGTAGATAAATAAAAACATTAATTGATTAATTAATTAATACACAGGATGCAGTCATTTAAAACATTTTTTGATGAACATTTCAATTTCGCAGGTCCAACAACATACTTATTTGTTGACAGCAATTTACAAGTAATCTATTTATGGCTACTTGTAATTGCATTATCAATGTTTCGCACCTTGTTGTGGGACAAACAACATCCACTCATCTCTTGCTGTCACTAGGGGGAATTGGTGCATTTAAAGGCAGTCTGAAAATCTTGACGCCGAGACTTGTAACAACAAATTGAGATTTTATTGACAGTCAGTAAATGTTACATCAACCAATAAAAATCGTAGTGGCTCTGTTTCAAATTACGTAGACATTTTTAGTGCACTTAACGTATTAAGGTAATTTATTTACACAATGTCTAATGTGAAAATAATGACCAATTTTTAATTTATATTCATTTTCAACGCATGATAGTTCCGTGTAGCTCGAATTCATAAACTAAGCTCCTACAAGCGGACAAAATGTTCTTCTGGAGATATTTTGAGTTATTTTTGCCCAAGAAAACGTCTTTCAAATGAGTAGGAATGATTATTTCCGAGCAGATGAGTACCCCTTGAAAGCAGCATCAGTTTGCCCAGTTACACATTCGGCACAAGGATGACCTCACCGGTCACATGGTTTAAAACTCGCGACGCCATTGGCTGCTTCACACCGGGGGGTGCTTGTTATTGTTGTGTGAATCAGGAAGCTCAGTTTCAAAATTGGGCGTGTGGTGTAAGTGTTAGCACAGAAATCAATTTGTAATTTACTCAGTGGAATAATAAAAAGTGGACTTCACCTTCCAACCTACAACTCTTCAATAAGCGCCTTCCTGCTTTAAGAAAAGAAGACATTCGTGAGTATAAGTGGTTGTTTTCTTTGTTTCATTTCCAGCAGGTCAGATGAACTTGTCGAGACAAGTATTGAAAAGAGCAAAGTGTGTCAGACAAACGATACTTTAGAGGTTAAGTACGACTCGTTCAGAGGTTTTCCATATGTGAGCAGAGTTAAATTTAGCTCTGACTTCGAGCATTTTCTGTTCACTTTCACATGAAGTGACCACAGAGCTGTCAAAGAGTGCTCACACACCTTTTAGTTTATTCTAGCTGCTGTAGTGAAGATATGAAGTTATGAAGACTTTTTAAACTCAGTCAAATACTGACACCTTTAATTTAATGTTTGCACTGCCTGTTATTTAATTGAATGTCTGTTTTTTGATAACTCTGCATTATCTGCTTTTTAAAACATTGTAAATATATAAACAACACACCTTCAGGAGGTCAACACTTTAAAAAAAAAAAAATTATATTCAGGTCTAATTACAGATTTGTTTCCCTCAACTGTTTATAGGTTCTTGCTTTAAATTACACATATTATTTTAATCCCTGCACGGGTTATGTACATTTCTTGTATAAATCTATTTTTAATAGCACAGTTTAAGTTTGATTCATCTAGAGGTATTCTTTAAATCTTTCTTCAGGTTAATATATATGCATGTTACAAATGTTTCATGTCATGTTCGTCTTTGTAACCTGCTACTGGATGCTTTGAATTTCCCTCGGATCAATAAAGTATCTATCTATCTATCTGTCTATCTATCTGTCTATCTATCTGTCTATCTATCTATCTGTCTATCTATCTATCTATCTATGTAATACCTCATCTGTATCTGTCTTGTTTACTTCAGGCCTCTGTAAACTGCAGTTCAACTCTCGTAGTTCCACTTGTGGGGACTTTCTGTTCCTCTTTTCATTTTGCCGTCTCATGTTTTCGGGCACATAGCTACAAATAAAAATAGAAGTGTCCAAATATTTAGTAACTCTTCAGTTAGAATTCAGCAGTTAGCTCCATTGAAGATCCCAAAATGTTCATGGTGATATCTTTAATTTACAATTGTCTCGGAATAAGGAAGAAACTGGAGGGTGCAGTGCTGTGCTGTCTCTTATTTAATTAACTAAGTATATGAGAAAGTATTCAGTAGGCATTCCATTTTTAAAAACCATTACAGGTAAAGAGGAAAAAGAAACGTCTGGTTTTGAACTTTAGAGCTTGCATTTATGGTCATATCTTTGGACTCTTGGGCCACACTGGCTGTCTAAATGAGGGAAATGTAAACGCTGCACAATACAGGAATATTTTCAATATGACAAAAGACTTGGTAGACTTGAATCCAGGCCGTCCGCTCGGAGGACTATAGCCATCATTGTCCCACTAAGCAGGATTTCCATCAGTTATTTACCAAGCTGATCTTCTTTATATGCATGCTAACTTATGGTCACTGAAAATGTTGGACTCAGTGTACCATGCTGCATTGCGCTTTGTCTCTGGGTTTGGTTTGTCTTCCCTGTTCAACCAAACGAAGGAGCATCTGTACATTCTTCTTTATAAGGCTATACGACATGAGCCGCCTTCTCTTATCTATGTTCTCTGCTGATCCTTAAAGCCGTTGCCGTGTCCATTCATTTGCAGTGCAACAGGAAGCTGCATGGTCGGCGCTCTGTGCAGAGATGGCATTGGAGGAAAGGGCTCGGAGCAGTTTGCTGCGCTGTCGCCACAGGCTGGAGCAGGACATCAAGCCCTCCTACCTGATGGACCACATGATCAGTGATGATGTGCTGACTGTAGAGGAGGAGGAGAGGATCATGAACGAGGTTAGCCTATAATCTGTGCAGAATTGGCTTTTAAAAATGCTCTCTGCCTTCATTGTGGCAAATCAGAGGTGTTTTTACCAGTTCATGTGAGAATCGTCAAAATAACAGCATATGTATGTATATATATGTACATATAGTTCAGACCAAATCTCTGTAACATCTCATTATCTCTTTTTCTGCAGCCTCACAGAAAAGATCAGGCTGCTGCCCTGCTCGAGCTGCTGCTGATGAAGGACAACCGCGCATACATCTCCTTCTACAACGCGCTGGTCAAAGAGGCCTATGATGGTTTGGCTAATCTGCTTCATGGTGACCTACCGCAAACATCCCCTGATAAACAAAATGGCTCGTCCGATGGCTTCACATCTTACGGTGAGGAAGGGAACCTATGGGTTATATAAGTTATTATAAGGTATGTTTTAGGGAGGAATGTTGGGGTTTCACAGTCTCCTGTCCTGCCTGATCCATTTCTTTTCCCATTTGGCCAATAGGCCAAACAGTACTGAGTGAAGGCGGTGTACCGCAGAGGCCTGTTGTGTTTGTCAGCAGACCAGAGCTTGTGAACCGGGTCAGGGAGAAACTCTACCGGCTCCAGAAAGAGGCCGGCTGGGTCACTGTCTTTGGCATGGCAGGTTCTGGTAAATCTGTCCTGGCTGCAGAGGCAGTCAGACACCAAGGACTCATCGAAGGTGAATAATCTTTGACCAGCTTCCACTGCCTAATACTTACTGTCAAAGACCAAAGAATACACATGTCAGATTGTAGTAATCCTTGATTGACTATCTCACTCTGTCGCTTCCTTCCCCATCTCCTGCCTTTTTCCGCAGACTGCTTCCCTGGAGGGATCCACTGGTTGTCCATCGGTCAGCTGGACAAACCCGATTTGCTTGTGAAGATCCAGTCCTTGTGTTTCCGTCTGGAGCAGAGCCTGGATTCACAGTCTCTCCACCGGCCCTCCAGCTCTCTGGACGAGGCCAAGGAGCGCCTGCGCTTCCTCATGCTGCGCAAATATCCAAGGTTACTAAACATTCACACACACATGATGTACTTCATGTTCCTTGGATGTATGTACATTGTTTTAAGTCTTTTGTTTACTTAAAATACAAAAATGCATCTATATAGGTCAAACAGACTTGTTGGTGTTACCATGGAAACACACACTACAAATAGCTTAGAAAACATGGGAGGTCAACTTCTTGACAAAAGTTGTTCTGTATAATTTAGAAGACACTAAAAGTTGAATAAAAAAAAATGATATTCAGGCTAATTTAATAGTCTAGAAAAAAAACTTTATTATGGGCTTTATTATAAGAAGAAGGTATATATTAATTTATGTATTAAATCAAATGAATATAAGTTGTGGTTCGAGTACGTATTGAAAACTGTATCTGGATAGGTGCGATATTAATAATAAATGCTAAAGGATTATGTATATTATATGAAAACATAATTATATGATCATTACATTTGAATGTGATATTTACAAATACATTAATGTAAAGGTGTGACAGAAGCTTTGGCTTATTATGCCCATGCTTTTTACAGAACATCCTCTGTTAGGCAACACTAGGAAACAAAAGGGCGTACTACATGTCTCATACAAGAGAAAGAGAAACAAAAACTGAAGTTACAGCGTTTCACAAGACATTTCATAAGACATTTCACAAGACTTTTCATGAGAATCAGAACAAGTCACAGCCCGTTACATTTTTTTTCATACATGTATCAAGTGAACACCACATTTTTTAAAATCTTTGTCAAAACTACTCCACAGGTTCACCCTTTGACAGATTTCAAACTTTGAACTCTCATGTGTGTTAATTGGCCTTAACTCTGTCCAATCATCTGTTCATCCTGTTCATCTGTTTCTATTGGGCTGTCAGATCTCTGCTGATTCTCGATGACATCTGGGACAGTACCGTGTTGAAGGCTTTCGATATCCACTGTCGGATCCTTTTAACCACCAGAAACCGAAGCCTTGCTGATTCTGTTAGTGGTATGTGTTTTTTTTTCTTTTTTACAATACACACAGGCATACTAGAATGAATTAAAACTGCGGTCAGTATTTAGTATACATC